GGCTCCGCTCCGACCCGGCCGCTCCCTCCCCGCCCGACTGACGCGTCCCCGGGCCGGAGCGACGGGGCCCCGCTCGGGACAAACCTCCGCGGGCGCGCTGCCGAGCCCAGGGCGGGCCGCCGCCTATGGCAGGAGGGGGCGGGGCCGGGCGGGCTCGGCGACGCCGCCATTGGCTGAGGCGGCGCGAGAGAATTGTGCTGAACTGCGCGGGGGCAGCAGCGACTCCCCGAGCAGGGCCAGTGGCGCAATGGATAACGCGTCTGACTACGGATCAGAAGATTCTAGGTTCGACTCCTGGCTGGCTCGGCTGCTCCTTTTTCACCCCGCGTCATTATTTTTCTTTTTTTATTTTTTTCATTATTATTTTTCTTTTTTTATTTTTTTCATTATTTTCTTTTTTATTTTTCTTGTACTTCGAGCCGAGGCTGCTGCCTACAGCTCCCCCACTTCTGTACGTGCCCAGCGCTGCCACCTCCTTGCCCTCAATGCGGGGGTCTCCAACCCTCCCAGGCTTGGGTGGAGCTTCAGTTTCCTGCCCTTGGCAGCCCCCAGTTCGGACACAGCTGCGGTCCACCTGATCTGTGGGCTATGGGGTGCGGCAAGGAGCAAACCTGCGGCACCTCCTGGCCAGTTCCACCGGATCCAGCTCTCTGGGTGTCAAGCCCAACGTTTGGGCAGCTTCTTGCCCCAAGAAGGGGGAGCTATAATTAGTTATTCCTATGTATTTGCTTCGTTTTAGCTGATAGCTCCAAGCTGCTGTAGTGCTGCTTGGCCAACATCCAGTCTTCAGCCGTGAGACATCTGGTAGCTGATAGCAGGGGCACCATGAGAATATGGGAACATCACCCAAAACTCTCAAGGAACCCATCCCCACCAATGCTGCAAAGGAGTCTTCCATGCTGGGGTCAGAGCCTGCTCCCACATGCAGCACATCCCTCCCCAGACCCTCAGCCTGAGACCTGGGCTTCCCCAGAAAGATGCCAGAACAGGACAGCCTCCGATGGAGCTGCAGCAAATACCAGCTGCCTGCAAAGGACTGGAAATTCCCAGTGAACCCTACTGAGGTGGTTCTCTTCACCCTCAGCCACTGAGGTGCAGGAACAGAAGGAAGAGGTTGGGAAACCATCATTTCACAGCCTAAGTCCCCTTACTATGGACTCTGGGCAATGACAATAATTTTAAGTTTAGGAAAGACTCGACTCTGAGTGTTGCTTAAGATACTGTCTTTAATTACTGAAATCACAACAGGCCAGTGGCTTCGTTCTGCTACTGATCTCCATTCTTTATAAATACTTAACAGCACAGAAGAAAAGAGGGCTGTGTTCACAGGAGGCTAAGGTTAGTTACACCAGCACAAAACCTAAAATACTCTCTGCCGGAGCTGAGCTTTGAAGGAAACATAAAATAACTAGTACCATTCAGTATCGTTATGCAGGCTCTGGATTTGCTTTCCGGATCCAGAAAGGCAAAGCCTGGGGGTGTGTGTGCCTGGGTCCCTGGCTGGCTGTGCTCCGCAGACCTGCTGCGTGGGGAAGAGAGTTGGTGCCGACAGGGCTGGCAACTGCAGCCCAGTCATCCCTCTGCCAGGGCCACAGGGCATTCCTGCCTTTACAGGACTTTTTGCCGTGTATTTGCACGTGGGGACAGTTTCTTCCCATCTCCTGTCGTGTCTGAGTGGGTTGCAGATGCACTGCCACACCAACTTCTGGCTGCCCTGGAAAAAAGCAGGGTAAGGATTTTTATTGCTCAGGAAAGTGTTGCTTCTCCTTAGGAAAAGGGTGGGTGAGCAGTTCCAAGCTCTCTCAGTTCGTGACAGGAAGATGTCTGCCCAGTCAGCTTCAGTGAGGACAGCCAGAGCTGCTGCAGCCAGCGAGCAGCAGCACACAGAAATGGAAAAAAAACCAAATGCATGCACAAATGCTGTGCAATGAGAGATGAAAAGCCCTTCCCAGCTTCTCCCAATGGCACAGGCAGTCACAGGATGGGGGAAAGGGATGTGTATCTGGTCATAGTCCTTCCCTGCCTGCAGCTACTGACTCCAGGGGTATTGCCCGGTGATGAAGCCTGGGTCAACTTGGCATTACATTGACGCACATTAAAAGGCACCTCCAAGCACTTGGCATGGGCACAGAGGTGTGAAAGGCAGGTGTGTCACAGGCAGCACCTGCCACACATCATGTGCATGGACACAACTGCACACACCACCCCAAAAGTGAGCATACAGCAAGTAGTCAAGGCTCACATGGGATTTTTTTATCCAAGAAAAAAGATAATCCTTTATTTCGAATGGCCAGCCAGACCCATGCCAGCTCTTGGACACCCAGTTTTCCCCTTTCAAGGCTGCCACATCACACCTGATTGCTGATGAAACTCCATCATTTACAGACTAAGCAGCTATTCACTTTGTAGTAAAAAGGTCTACAACAAAACCAAAAAAAGGGCATTTAAACCTTGAAAGACTTGGAAAACATTTTAAAAGCCCCCAGATGAAATTCAGAAAGTGAAGAGCCACAGATCTTTTCAAATGCTCCTTACCAGAGCGTTAGAAACTGCTGTTCCCTGTGTTTTAACATCAGGGCAATTTCCAAATTGCTTTGATCACAGGTGCTTCTTACACTTTAAATTACACAAAAATGTCTGCTGCTTCTGTAGCTGGGACTTTCTCCCGGCTCTTATGCAAAAATCCCTATTTAAATGAGTTTCTGTATTTTAAGCAATAGAAATTTAACAGCATGATCTGAATGAAAAAATCTTTTAAGCTCTGATTCCTGAAAGCAGGCTTCAGGGAATTCACTTGAATAACTATTTGCATGAGAGTTACTCATTAACAGCACAATGGGACTTCCAAGGGTCCCTTACTTTAAAGACAGTCAAAAGAACTTGCTGGGGGAGGAATCAGGACTAACTTTTCACAGCATGTTTTCATAGCTTCTTAATAAATTAAAAGGCAACAAGGTTCACGTGAACAGCAAGACCCAATGAGATAGGTGGAATTTAACATGTTTTTTGAAATTCTTCTGAAGAGGACGCAAAGCCTCATACTTCCAGCTCCAGTGCTACTTCTCCCTTTGGGGGAGCTGCCTGAAGGCAGGCAGTGAGGGCTTGCAGCTCCACAGATGCCTGGTGGAGGGTCAGGAGGAGAAGGTTCCCCTGTGCAGAATGCCCCTGCCTCCTGCTGCCAGGCAGCTGCAGAGCTGGGGAAAATCATCATCAGACTCAGACACTCACAGCCAGGGAGAAATAATACTGAGCTTAAAGGAATTCGACCTCCCAGAGATACAAGCAGTGCAAGTCAGCACACACAGGGGTGCAGGGCAGTGCAGTAGATACTTTAGCTTCTAAACCACAAGCTCACAGGCTCCTTTTTTTCCAAGAGCTTCACACTGTCACTCCCAGCTCTTTTTAAATACAGGAAAGGATAGTGTTAGCATTTAATAATTTATAGGGGACCTTTAAACTGGAAGTAGGGCAGCCTTCGTTTCCCCAGTGCTGAGAGATACAGGATGGCTGACAGGAGTAAGAAGACACTGTGTGGGAGCAGAGGCCAAACTCTCTGGTAATGCAAAGAGGGCTCCTGCAAGACATCTTGCCACGAACTGCTGCCCTTGAGGCTTTCCATGAAGGAAAATTGTCCTTCTCCCCTTTCCCTTCTCTCCTGCTTATTTTGGGGTTTTGGGGAAGGCTGAAAGAGTGAGACAGAAGTTTAAATTGCAGTTTAAAAACAAAATACCAGTCCCAGTAGTGTTTTCAGATCTTCATAAAATTAAGGCCAAAAAATGTGCACAAGGGCTTGATCTAAAAAATCAAGAGGTAGCAAAAGCATGAACTACATAGCAGCTGGTCTTTCAGAGACAGCAACAGATGACCAAAGCTGGTGTCTGCAGCTCAATTGAAAAAAAAAAACACTTTGATATCTCATTGCCTTCACTGCCAAAAGCAGCCCAGGGTGCAGAACCACCTACCCAGGACTATGTGAATTATTTACTAGGGATTGTGAGCTGGTGTTATTTTCCACTTCAGTCCCTTCAGACAGTCCTGAGATCACCTGGAACACCCCTCCCTGCTCCAGCCTAGCTGTGCTGCAGGACACAAGCTGATGGGATGCACTGGGATGAGAGCACTATGGGATCTGCCCTGGATGTTGCCCTCGATATATCTTGCTTACATTTGTGTCAGATTCCATTCCCTTCCTAACCAGCTAAATTTAAGGCTCTAGGAGGGCTCACATATTTGGGGTCAATTTTACCTCCTCTAAAATCACAGGTAAAACTCTCAGAAGATATATTTCACAGTGCTAAAATGCCCTCCCTTGAGCTTTCAGTCGCTCACTCAAGGGATTCATGTCTCCAGGAAAAATGGTGCTGCAGAGCCAAGCTACACCAAAGCTCTGGATGGCTTCTAGGGAAGACCAGCCTCCAGCCCCAAGCTGCCATCCCCATCCTGAAGAGCAGTGGAAACAGGCAGAGGCACTTGCAGTGAATGGGGCAGAGGGCTGGATGGTCAGTTGGCACCATGAAACTCCATGCCAGGCCCACCAAGCTCCCCGGGCTGGGGCAGTTTCACATTTCAGCCAAGGCAAGATGACTTACTAGCACAGAGACAGGCAACTTGCTGCTACCTGACACCTGTGCTCCTCCAGATGAGTACATGTTGCTGTCTGACCATATCAAGTGAAGTTCAAGCTACATCCATGCTATTGGAAAAGAGGTTTGGTTGAACTGTAAAGGGTTTTCAGCATGGGAACCTTTTGGGTGTCCCAGTGCCATGGCTCAGCTAATTTATTGTTATTTCCACACTGAAAATATCTCCAAGAATGTCATCCCATCCTTTGCCAGTCAGAATTTACATCTTCAGCATAGATACATGAGGATTTAACTAATTTTCCACACAAAGAAAGAACAGTTAAGACTCCATCTGAGACCTTAAATTAAGAACTTTTTGTTAAACAAAAGTACCAGTACATGAGGGCCTGCACAAATTTGACTATAAAGTTGGGGGGGTGGGGGGGGAAGGGGGAGGGTGGTGTCAAGACAAGAAACAATTTGCCTTCTTGCTTTCTCAGCAGAAGGGAAAGTAAGGGCCAAACTCTCCAACCCCTTGCTCAGACAAGCTGTTATTATTCAATGGAGTAAATCTGTTTATGCCAAGATACTCATCTGAGTTCAGGTTGTGGAGCTGGGCTCTAAATCCCTGTGTGACAAAGCCTTCATAACAACCTCAAGTTTGCTCCCCAAGCTCTAAATAAGCACCACTATGAAGTGGCTTTGTGCTGGGTAAACACTATGAAAAGGAATAGCCAGGCTGAGGGCTGAGCTGTGAGGACAAACTGGAAAACTCAGGCAATTGTTCGTATACGGAGAACTTTTTTCCAAAGGGAGCTCCGCAAGCAAGTATGAGGGTGGATTTCCCCCATCTCCACTCTTTCAGCATCCCGACTTTTCCTTTCCAAATATGATCCACTGTTCAGACTCTGACACACGAGCCTGGGCCCCAAGTCATTGCAGTAACTTAGCCTAGCTTGTTCCAGTTTTTTGTTCTGTTTTTAATTGGATGTTGGCCTCCAGTTGCCAGACAGCACTGCCTGGTTTGTGCTTGGAGTTGGTACTTTTACAGCCAGACTTGATACTGGAGTTCAGGAAATTAACTGAAAGGTCTGAGTGTGCCCTTTTGCACAGACATTTTTCTTTTCCTAAAGAATTAATAAAAAGAGAGTGTCTGAAAAGCTGGTACTAATAGGCTGGTGTCCTTCAGGGAGCCTGATGAAATGTGCTTTCAGGAAACAGTAGACTGATGGGATATCCCTGGTAAGCAGGCAAGCCAGACTCTGGCTTTTTAATTGTGTACAGCATGACCAGAGTTCATAGGCATGAGAGCAAATTGTGCTTTCACTGAAGGATCTTCTAAAATGAGTCCAGAGGAACCTCCAGGAGGCAGAAAAAGACATGTAAATGTAAACTGATCAGTTTAGTTAACATGCCACATTCTTGGTCAAGTAGATATGGTTTGATGCAGCTGAAACCCACAAGCATACAAACTTGGTGAATCCAGCAAAAATCTCTCATATCCTTTGACAGGAACATTGCTGACTGGTGAAAAACATGCACAGGAAATCAGCTGAAGGTGGGGAGAGGGAGAGCATGTAACAAGTCTTCTGTCCTAACTTTCCAACTCTGGCCATGCTGACTAGTAGTGGTGCTGGTAGGCAGCTGCTGGGGTCGTGCCATTCTCTATGTGTTTCAGGTGACAGGAGTGACAAAGCAAATGTTCATCCAGTGGGTAGCAGCGATGTCCATCTTCATCGTTCAGTTCCATCCCACAGTCCTGCAAAGAGAGGCCATGCAAATTATTAGAGCTTGTGTTCATCATTCAGTGTCAATTGGGGTCTGGCTTCTAGGGAAGTGATTTTGTGACAAGGACAGATGACACCCAGCCAACAGCTCCTTCCAAACAGGTGCAGCATGTACCACAAGAAGAAAAACATCTGACATAGGAATTTTGATGGGCAGCCTTGTACAAATTTGTTTAAAACAGTTTAATAAACTTTATCTTTGTGGTAAGGTGCAACCTCTGTATTTTAAATATGCTTGTGTCTCCTTACACTGCCAGGTAAGATTCACCTCTTCACATTACAGTTGTACTGATGTGAAATCAGCTTGTGGAGTCAGGGCCTCTTTTCACTGCATTATAAGAACAGTGAGAAAAGACAACTATTTATTTTAATTCTCAATCAGAAATATGGTAGCTTTCTGAGAAGCCCTGCACAGACGAAATAGTTTTTAAGAGCTGGCACCTCCTGGAATTTTTTCTTGTGCAGCCATATCCTTTCTCCAGCCCCAAACACACATTCATTTCTCATGAGAGTGAAGGTAACTTATACCCCATGAGATCAGTCACCACTTTAGCATTTTTCAACAATCTGACTTGGAAATCAGATACACTGATGTGATCTGGAGCTCAAGGCTTCAGAGGGGCAGCAATAGACCTCACTAAGTCACTGTGCTTCCTGCATTAACGAATAAACTGTCAAGTTTGAAAAGCAGTAATTAACTTGTTGCCCATAACTTTACAGGTAGCAAATGAAATTAGAAACACATTGCTGCAAAAACTTTTGTCTTCAATCTGGAAATTTCTCAGTTACTGACAGAAAGGGTCTCACACTGAAAGGTTTGAATTGCTCATCTACTGCTGCTGTAAGGCAGGAGATGTATTTGCATTTTAAAAATAATAACAGTTATGACTATTAAGCGCCTACTCCCTGAGAAAGTGCTGACCTACCTCGCAGTGATAACATTCCACATGGTAATCCTTGTCCATGGACACAACCCGAATGGTCTCATCAGACCCCTGTGAGCATTTGAGCAAAGCAGAAATTACAAAGGATTACAGCAGGATCAGACACATGCACTCTGTAGATTGCTTCCTGCAATAAAATGAATGTGGAGGAAATGCATTTGGGCAGCTGGCTGGAGACCACAAATAAATCCTACCACTTGCAGTTATTTTTATAGTAAAGCTTCATCACTGACTGACTGTAGATATCCTTTAAAATGTGACACAAGTAGTGTAAAAATGTTTTCTGTTTAACAGTAACATCTATCAGATATCACAAATTAATGACTTGGTAATTTCAGTAGATCACATTTTTCAGCATTGTAAATCAGTTTTGTCTAAGATTCATCTCCAAGTATTAAAATGTGTTTGTCCCAGAGTAGTCACACAGAGGACATTCATGAGTACCATCAGCATCTATTGACATAAAGGAAAATTCTGAACATAAAACCAGCAGCAGCATAATCCTGCAGGAGATGAAAAAGGCAGCCTGGCCAAGGAGGAATAAGCTTCATCACTCAACAAAAGAAGGGTCACATCTCAAGAAGAGTGCATGAACTTAGACCAAAGGGCTGCACTCTGGAGGAAGTGACCACTTCTCTCCATCCAGAAGCACATTCATCTTGACACATGGTCAAGTGTGAAAGAGAGCAAGGCCTGACACTCCCCCCCAAGGGGATATGGAATAAAAGGCTCTCACCTCAGAGGGCAGAATGGGAAGTCCACATGCTGCACACTTTGGAGCTAAAACTCTGGAACAGCAACAAGAAATTGAAGGCAAGTTATGGATCAACATAAAAAGAGAGGTCTGTATGTTCTCAGTGATAACCTGAAAAGCTGCAGCTGTAAATTACTTACCCACAGGAAAGCCTTGCATCCTGAGATCATAAATTCATTTTAACATTTATCTTAAGTAATGCTTGGCACACGTTGCTTAATCAGGCAAAAAGAGACCTTATATTTTACAGTTAGTGCCAGAAAAAAATACAACATTTCCCTATAAAATTCTTGGCTGCTACTGAGAGATTTGGAAAAGAAAATGAGGAGGAATGGAGCAGGACTGTCCCCAGAAAAATACATTTAAAAAAATGGCAGCCTCTGGGCAGAAAACTTCTGAGAAAATACCGCATGACTGCACAGCTTCTTAAGGCCTTATAACACAATAATTAATTAAATTAAATTGCAAGGAAATATGAATTATTTCTGAATAATGATGGTATACAGGGGCACTAATCTTGGCAACAGGATTGTAACAGCTTAGTCTTGGCACAACACAGAAGAGCTCCAATGACTGCCTGAGCAATACTTAATACTGTTCCTGCTCAGAAAATGGAGCAAGAACCAAAGCAAGCCAGAAGGACACACAAAATGTACGCAGCTCTAATACCAAAGCTACCAGCCAAGCGCATGGCCATTTTATTTTAATGTCTAAATAAGAAGTGATTTTGAAGTGAACTTATCAGTTGTTTAATTTAGAACTGGGTAAAAGTTTTACTTTGCAGATTCAATGGTGATTCCTTAAAAGACAAATTCAGGCATTCAACTACTCAAAAAGTAAATCACATTGATTTCCACAGGCATTCACAGGCTTACCTTAAAGCAGACTAATTTTGTACATCACTGAACACTTTAGGAACACTATTTCTCACTCTCTGCTTTGCAGAAGGGGCAGCTGAAGCCCAGAGGTTATTTGGCTTCATCAGACTTACACAGGAGTCAACAGCTGGGTAAGAGGAGAGAGGAGGAATTTCTAGGGTCTAGCCCTGTCCTCAAAACTTCTAACCCTGCCCCTATTTTATTAATCTGCATTGCTAACTAGCTGAAAAGCTAAATTAGAGGCTTGCTGCTTGGAACATCACTGCTGTTTATTTTGCCCTTACTTGTGGTAATCTCTGACACAGTAGATTTTGTTTTCAGAGTCTACAGTGAATGGCACACCGTCCAGACACTCGTTGCAGATGACGCATCGGAAGCAGCCTGGATGATATGATTTCCCTAGAGCCTGCAGGATCTGCAACAGAGCAAGAGAAAGGAAAAATGCACATCAAGAGCCAATAAAGGTGAAAATTGTAAACACATAGCTTTACACAAGATAATGCTGTATATTTATCACCTGGGCTGTGTCTTTTTTCCCCTGTCTCATCTGAAAAATCAGTTAACAAGGATGGAAAGGGCAGCTGGAATCAATATATGGCACCTGGCTCTAGAGATATTAATTATTTTCATGGGTACAAAAACAATTTAGAGACTCAGTCAAGGTGTTTAGCATGACAAATGATAGAAGTGACAGAATTTAAAGGAAAGAAAATAATTTCTGGAGTCAACAAGTAGAGAATACTTAGCAAGATCACAAGGCAAGATGTACCAGCCAAACAAAAGAAATACACTTTTATATTCTTCATGAGAAGTTGAAAATAGTATTATTGCTAGGTTTTCATAATTCCTTACATATCGAAGGGCTTTGTACTCGCTTGCCTGGCTTTCTAATTAGCACATTCTATGGAAATTGTGTTGAACTCGACAGCTGCAATTCACTACCTGGAATACCATGGTCCGTCAGTAGAAGGATCAAACTTCTGAGTAGGAAACAGCTTCCAATTGTAATGCTTTCCAGTGTAAGCAGGCAAACAAAGATAATTAATTATAAGCATTAGAAAATGTTGGGAGGCATGCTGTGAACCAGAAATTCCTAATTTCTTTGCCTCAGCTGTAGTCTTATACCCACCAACTATACCAGTCTCCCTCTGAATGTCCTTTAACTCAATGCTGACCCCCACCCCATGCACATCTGGAATAGATGGTACCTGCTGTAGGCTAATCCTGCTTCATAGATCTAAACTGAGGTCTGGATCATACACCCTGGGTCAAACCAGCTCCTCAGAGTATTGCTACCCACAAAAAACAACAAGGAAGTGACTTAATCCAGAAGACACATGGAAAGCTACAGCTTGACTGCAGGAAAGACAGGCTGAGGGAACTGCACTGATGCTTCACATCAAGGGAGCATTGCAAAGCCACGACACTGCTGCGCAGGAAGCATCAACAGGATTACAGATACGCTGTCCAGAGAAGTCCAAAAGGGATGAAAGACCTGGAAGCTCTGCTTTTCACCACACTCTGAAAAAAGGCAGAGCAGTGTCTCTGCACAATATACAGTAGTGTGCCAGATTCACTTCCTTGAAAATATCAACAAAAGGCTCAGTGGATTTTCCTTCTGATACCAGTCTTGCACTAAGCAAACTACCAGATGATAACAGACAGCATTGGATATAAATATATTTTGCTTTTGATGCATTCTTGTAAAAAGCTGTGGGAGTTTTTTTCTCCTAAAGCAGTGATCACTTACCATGTCCATTATCAAATGACCACAAATGAAACACCTGTCAGCCGACTGCTGGAAACCAGAATACTGCAAGGACAGAAAAGAATTAACTTAAAATTTCACAAGACCACTCATGCATAAACAATAGTGTACTGTGGAGTGTTATTTGCATGTTTCTTATTGGTCCTTTTTCTGTGCTCCTTAGACAGGAAAACTAAACTTTCCAATGCTTTTTTCGTTAATAAAGGTGTGGATGGGTTTCCAGATGATATTCTATCTATAATTCTGACTGCCTAGTATCAGAATGAGTACAAGTTCCTGCAACTTCCAAGTCCAAAATTTAACTTTAAAGTATAAAAACAAATACCATAAATGCACATGCAAATGAGGCAGTTACTAATACGACTCATTTACATGCTTCTTTGACCACAAGAATCTACAAGACCTACCTACTTGTGTTTATCACATATTTATGTCACAGTATCTGTATATATAGGCTTGGAAAGACAAGTTTTTATTTGGTTACATGGTTATAATTCTGTTGAAGCTTCTCTGAGGTCAGTGGTACTGTTCCAGTTCCCTGTTAGGACAGCAGTCAAGTCTGGCCCATAGCAACTTTTTTTGCTGTTTTTCCTGAGATTTGTTGGTAAGGAACTGTCTGTCATGTCCATGACATGCACCTTGGGCACAGCATATCATCTGTCTGAATGAAGGAAATGCAAACTTGGAAAATGAAATATGTTAGGTGCATTTAATGCTTTTATTTTCATCCTATGTAGAATATACTGAAGAGAACAAAGAAGATGACCTTACCCCTCTCTGACAGAAATCCCTAGGATTCACCAATAAGTAAGCAAATACAACTTTTTCCTGACTCAAAGAAGGCTTCATCTACCAGGACTCAGGGGCAGAAGGGTATATGGATTTTTATTTGCACCAGCCAAGGAGAGGACTGTGGGGTTGCTTCATGCTTAGGTACACTCACACAAAATCCATTGAGGGCAACAGAAAGATATCCATTAAGATATCCATTAGGTGAAAAAGGAAAATCACCCATTCTTCTGTAGCCGTTCATCTCACTCCTGCATTCTCAGCATGGCCACAGAGACAATGCTTTGAAGGAGCCATCACAGGAGGTTATGGCTTCAGGTAGGGGTGTTTGCCACAAAACCAGGGGCTGTCATTCAACTACCTCCAGCACCACATGTGGGCAGCTACCATGGCTGGGGTTGGCCCTGGGAAAATGTTGGAGCAGAAGGACCAGGCAGGATGCTGGACCAGGAGTGTGTGAAACATAGGCAAAGCTGACAGGCAGAAAGGCTGTGAGTCTGCTGGTGACACTGAATGTCTCATCAAAAGAGTCAACTGGGTGCTTACCAGGAAGTCTTCTTCACAGAACACCTTTCCATTGACAAAATAAAAGGCTTTTCCTCTTAGCTTTCGACCTAAGGAAAAATCCACAGATAAGACAAAGATCAGCAGTGAACAGGGAGAAAATGGGATCAAAACCTGGCTGCTGAGAAGCAGACAACAATGAAAACATCCAAGGACAGATGTCACATAGCTGGAAAAGAGCACCTAACCCCAGCATCGGTCTTCCCAGACATCAGCCTGCCAAACTCTCTTCCACTGGTGGTTGCTGATGAATACCAGATGGTGGATATGGACAAAAGTCCCATGTTTGGGTAGGAGGTAGAAGCTTTGCAAGCTTGGACCATCTCCTGGCAGATGACCACGTGTTGTAACTCTGGGAAGAGTGAGGCAGGATGCACTGACTCATGCTGGAAAACACCCAAGGAAAGGAGTAAGGAGGAAAGAAGAAAGGGCAGAGAGAGAGTGACCCACATTTAATTCCTCAAGATGTCACGACCTTACTGTTTTGCTATGAGCAGCAGCTGCCAGACCATGCACTGCAATACCTGCGCACTTGCTCTGCCCCAGCAGAGTGCAACACTAGAGCACTCAACAAGCTTCTCTGCTACCTATCAGCACATTTGTTAATGCAGCTGCCAACAAAAAGCTTTGAAATTATTTTTTAAAAAATTGTAAAATCCAAATGTCATAATTAACACAAGATGACAAAGTTTTTCCAAGAAAGGACTCTATATATGGAGAAGATTTGTATTTACTTCAGCTTTTGTGTTTATGCCTCCCATTCACTGTCTGTTTTCAGTTCCATGTAATCATGGCAATGTTTGCTCACACTGCTACCACTCCTAAACTTCCCCCAAGGAAGTTGGGCTAGGTTTTGTTTGTTTATAAAAAGCTGCTCTTTGCAGCCTGGTTTCCTGATTGAGCCCAGGGTTTGAAATGTAAGCCTGGCATTGGAATGGTTCTGCACTGGAGCCCCAAGCGTGGGCCAGGAGACAGTGCTCAGGGCACTGCCCAGGCACAGCTGGAGCAGGACCTGCTGCAGGCTGGCTTTGGACATCTACCAGGCACTGCTGGAAGGAAATTGGTTCTGAGACACTGAGGCTCAGAAGCCTCCTGCTTGACATGTTGAATGCGCCCAGTATCACTAAAAAAAGTGATTGTCAGCTGTGGAGTGTATAAATGTGAACATCACACGGACTGGACTGGGGGTCACTGAACCTACCTGGCAGCCTTCAGCAAAGAACCATGCTGGCTGTAAGGCTTTAGGGAAAGGAGGAAGTCAAGTAAACCCAAGAAACAAGTGAGTTTTCAAGAAACAAGTATTACAGTGTTCTGCATACGCCAGAGGGCACCCTCAGGCTGGGAAACAACTCGTGCTGGTTTCTTCCTCTGCTGCTCTCAGGTTCTCCCTGCCCACTTTAGGCATGGCCTGCCCACAGTGTCTCTTCGAGGTGAGGGAAGCACTTTCTCATCATAAAATTGGGAGGGCAAGATGCAGAAAAAGATCACTTCCCCACGCTGCACTGGGAACTGTCCCAGTGGGGCATCTCCAGGGAAGCTCCAAAGGTTTGCCAGTGAATTGAGCCAGCCCAGCATTTCATCAGCAGACCTTAGTGCCCCATCCATGTCTCAGGCAGTGGGGCAGGTGGAGGACAGGGCAGTGTGTTTTCTCAAGGAACAAGCCCTGGTTTGCATGTACAGGAATTAAGCTGTGGGCATTGCTCAGCTCTGTGTTTACTGAACTAGTGTAGGAGCCTAAAGCACATGGCCCCATCACAGTCCTTGTCCCCCATTCTCTTCTAATCCCTGTTAGGGAAAACCATGTAACCTGAAGGTCAGAGATAATCCAGGGCACCAGCCCACCCTTGCATCAATGCAGACATTGGATTGAAGAAGGGCATGGAAGAAAACCTAACAATCCTGAAAGCATCCCACTTTGATTTTTCTCATCTGCCCTATGTTGCCAAGGTTGCTGAAACTAAAATAGGGCCCACAGTTCAAAATAGAAAGTATCTAATCTGGGACATGTAATCTTTGTGGTTTATAACCCAGGGTGTGTATTTGCATGATAACCCCACCTGTGTGTCTGCCTGTCCACAGGTAATCCTGGCATGCTCACCAGCAGCACCTCTAGAGTCACAGTTTCTGAGGAGGGACAGGAGAGGCATGGGAATATCTGAGATTTGCATCACCTTTGTCAAGGGTGGTCCTAAACAAGTTAACAAGAAGCCTAATACAGCAAGAAGTACTCTTGAAAACCTCCCACTGACTGAAATGCAATACTGGGATTTGGCACTCCCAAAAATGAAAAACAAACAAAACCATTTAACTTTGGTTTTAAATTACATGGTAGCAAGAACTCCAGTTCAGTGCAATGGGCAGGTGCCCAAGTGACTTTCCACCCGCATGTAATGTATCTCCTTAAAGACAAGGTGACAGTGGTGAGAAAAAACAAACATGGGGCCATGCAACGAGAAACACTTCTTTGGATGAAGGCCTGGTGCGTGAGCAGCAGACATTCCAACAGAAGGGATGAGGTTTGGATCACTGCCACAATGCCATTCTTCCATGGTGACAAAAAAAGCATTTACCAGCCATTCTGCACCCAGTGTATTTTTAACATGGTGACATTAGCAGGTTAAGATTGATGGCAACAGACCTTCAGTGAAGGTGCCACAGCCAGTATGCTATATCTGCGCTTCTGCTGTAAGCTTGTTCAGCAGAGGGATAAACCCTATATAAAGGATTTATAATTTGGCCATTGGCATCACGTGAGTCCCTGAAGAGTTGCTGAAACCAAAAGCACTTTGAGGCAGGGCAGGGATGATTTAATTACTTTTATTAGGGAAGAGGTAAGCATTTTAACTAGTTCTCTATGACTCTCTTTAAGCTCCTGGCAAAAATGTAAAAGGAAATTAGCAAAACCCATGAGTAATCAGGCGCTCCTGCAGCAACTGTGGGAGTGGTTCATGCAAACACAGCCCATTTCTTACCAGCTGCTCTCAACTTCTCCCTGCACACTTCTAGGATGGATTCTCCCAGTGTCTCTTTGAGAGGAGGAAGCACTTTATCATATGATTGGGAAGGTAAGATGCAGGAAAAGCTAGGAAGCACTTTCTCATACGATTGGGAAGGTAAGATGCAGGAAAAGCTAGCTTCCCAGGCTGTGCTGGGGACTGTCCCAGTGGGGCTGGGAAGTATATGTTCTTGCTGCAGCCACACCAGTAAAAGAAACAGCACTGGGACTGCCCCACAGTGCAGAGCAGCGTGGGTGTGACTTCTGTCCCTGCACTGAGCTCCCTGCCATGGGACAGTGCCTTAAACTAAACCAGTCCCACTCAAAAGCAATGCTTCTGACTGTGCCCGCAGAGGCTGGCACAGGTTTCACTTAAGTATGGAGATGATGTTTTATTTTCACCAAAAGGAAGGATTGAGAAGTTAAATAGCATATAAGAAATCACATGTTAATAACTACTTTCAACTTGTATCATGATGAAATATCCTTTGACAAACCCAGGAATATTTAATGCATGGTTTGCTGCTTTCAGGATCAATTGTTCTACTACATGTCTTATGCTGCTGGCTCCTGACTGTATTTCACTTTCACTTCACCCTAAATTTAGCTTATCTCACACCTGAAAAGATTCAGACAATTAAAATTCTTTGGTATTTCAACCTTCCTTTCTTCACTTGTTTTTACAAGATATCTTATTCACCTTTTTGACAGGAAGTTTGAGCCCTCAGCTTTTACGTACTCCTCATCCCTCACATGTCTGTCTAGTCTGTTTAGCTGTGGGACCTACAGTATGACCTCGAGGTCATTTCGGCACCAATTTCAAAATATTTCAAGCTTAGTCACTAGTGCCTTTGTGCTAAAATAAACACACTTTGCTTAGCAGCTCATAATAGGCATACCATCAGGCTGGACTCCCAGGATGCCAGTGCTTTTGTCCACTGTTTTCTCAAATGATCTCTGCTTTTGAAGACCATGCAGAGAGAGTTTAACCAGGGACTTGAAATGTCCCTGGCAAGGAGGATCCTGAGAGATGCATAATTTCCTTGCTGGGGATTTGGACTTAACTTTCTCTTTTGAAGTTGCTTTTCCATTATTTTTTAAAAACAGTGGGGTCACAAACCCATGTTCAAAGACAAGAGATAGCTCATCAATGCATATAATGGAACAGGGTCCTGTCTGGATCCCAGGGCTCTATGGAGATACACAACCAGGATTGCTGCATTGATGGGGAGGCAGTGTGCAGACTTCACTTATCCCATATCTAAGCACCATGGAACTCCCTGTGGTATCTCCACAGCAGATGGGCAATAATCACTGCTGACTGGCAGCTTCTCCTGTGTCCTTTCCACACTGACAGCCTCTGCTATTACAAAAACCAGTGCTTTTTCAAATACCACAACTGTAAAATAAATTTGGATATGTGATTACTGATGGTACGTTACATTCAGTCAGCACGTGTGTTTTGGGAGCCCTCTGTGGATACCCTGTTGACAGGCAGTAGGGTGTCCTACCATGTGCAGGAGACAAGGTCAGGCATCAGACCTGACTAAGCTCTGCTTAGCTTCTGACATCTGTCCCATTTCTTTTGGGCACTCTTAAAGCTGGATGCAGCACTGAGGCTGACACACAAGCTTCAATATTTCCAACCTGCTTTAGAACTGAGCCTGCATGAAAGGGTAACACTTCAGTGCCTGTACATCCTCCAAATCAGACAAATGGCAGATATCCCAGGACACATCAAAGTCTTACTGAAAGCATGGGCAGGAGGATAGGATATCTCCGAGAAGAAACTGTGCTACAACACAGGAACTCCATTACCATGTAAGATGTTCAACTCACCTACACCAGCTGTATGGTAAAACATACCCTCTGTGCTCTCACCATACATTTGAGGCAGTAGGAAAACAACCAAATAACCCAAGCAAAAAACCCTCAAAACTCTCAGGAAATGATCTGATGACTGAAAGCCAAAAACATGCACACATAAGAAAGGTCAGCTGCCTCTAATGGCAACACAACCACAGGTGAGGGCAGAAACGGATCCCCAGACAGAAA